AATCAGGTTCCTCTCTCCAGCATAAGAGGCTCTGTCAACCAATCCTATTCCTCTTTCTTTGCTGCTCCCTCAGTTAAATAACATCAAGTCCCATGGTTTCTTAACTGTGGGGCGATATTTCTTATATTATTATTGCTATTATTACATTTATTATTGTGGTTATTATTGTATGTAATATTGTGATTAATAACTATTCCTTAACTCATAGTAGTTGACAAGTTTTCCTCATGTTAATAGCTGTCAGTTTCAGATGGATTTTACTCTCACTCTAGTGTCCTTGTTGTGGACAGAATATTAGCTAAAGTAAAATGCCTATTTGCTCTGCATAACAATAATCAGTATTATTCAGTGACTACTCAAAATGGCCGCTGGGAGTCACTCCCTCCTATCGTGTAACCAAGATGGAGCTGGAATCCAGGGGAGAATTTCATGATAACAGTAACATGCACACCCAGTAGGATGTGCATGGAATAAACCACCTAACATCTGACCAATTATTGTTGTATTTTTCTCTGTTATCTGTAATTATGCATGTGATGTATTTGTGCTTTATAAGGGGCTCCCCGCCCCCTGATTAAACATTACAGAGTATTTCAACAACCGGGAAACATGTGTCTGGTGTGATTTACTTTGGAAAGCATGCATGCACCATAACCAATTTGAAAAGGGGCAGATACACAAAAATTATCAAACACTTGATTTGATCCTTATCAATTGGCGCCCAACGTGGGGCACCGTGGTTTTTGCCGGATCGGATAGCCGGAAAACGGGACCGGTGCGGACCCTCGGAATGTGGGACAACCGGAGCCTGATCACCTCCTAAATACGGTAATAACTGCTCATTAGCAATTTGCCTGTATTCTCCTGCTTTGTGTGGTTCTGTCTCCGTGTCCAATTCCGGCTTCCAGAAGGCTACAAGACAGGTGCCTATACGAACCTGTTGATTGTCTATCTGCCTCCTGAGTGTATGTATGTGTGTGAGACAGCTAGTGTGCGTGGTTTATGCTTTATTATTATTATAGCTTGACTGCCGAGCGGGCAGGGAACGCATCCACCCAGTGAAGGGCTGGGAGCCGCCTAGAGAAAGGCTGGGAATTTTGTCCGCCCGGTGAAGGGCTGGGAACCGCCTAGAGAAAGGCTGGGAATTTATTATAGATTGACTGCCACATCAATATGTAACGCATCCGCCTAGGGAACGCATCCGCCTAGAGAAAGGCTGGGAATTTTGCTGTACTGTTCAGAGTAGAACAGGGTTAATTTACTGTTTATTTATTTTTATAAAGAATTTGAACACACAAAAAGATGTGGAATAGTGGCGCTATATAATTAGTGAATTTGTGATTTTAGCTGCTATATACACTCCGTGGGTACTCCTTATAACCCACCATACATAAATAAACACCAAAAAGAACCGAGAAAACTTTGGATTTAGGTAAATATTTTGTATCACCCAGATCCCTAGTTTCTCATGAGTGTAGCGCTGAATATAGAAAATATAAAGTGGAATTTTCAGGAAGGAATAGTGCTAAAACACGCACTTACCCTATATATTGTGCTTTAGTTTTCTTAATGGTATACCAAGAAAAAAGAACATAAAAAATACAGATAATAGTGTAGTATATTAAATGAATATTACATAAAGTCCTTTAGTTATGGATGATAAGTTGAAATAAACTCACATTTTTTAGAGCCTTTTACAGTTATAAGGCTCTAAACTTCCAGGTGTCTGTGTCTTTTTGGGGTAGATCACACGACCCGTCTCTCAAGGTGAAAAAGAGCGTAAATTCCTCTCCACGTTGCATAGAAAAAAGACACAGATATCCCCAATCTAAGTGTAGTATTTTAGATACTGATATGGATCAATGTAAATAAAATACAAAAGTGCTAACCTTCTTTAGAGCCTTTGGTAACCGGCTCTAAGTATTTTAGCCTAGTGTCAATTAATAGGGATGACACTGCCCTCTTCTTGGAATCACTTGCGCACAGTATAATTGGATAGTGAATAAAATGTATATATTTATTTAAGAAACTATTAAAATGTATACATACTACTAGAAAATAATAAAAACAATTACATATAATATAAATGTATTGGGTGGTCTGCTAACAGGTCCACCTAGTTAGCCAAAACGCGTTTCACCGAAAAAAATGGCTTCCTCAGTCAGCTTCAAACTATACTATGGATCAAATCTCCTTTTTATATCTTCAAATTTCCCACCAGAAATTTCCTCTGCTCGTTTGTGTTGATTGTGTCCAGTATCCCCAGCATGGCGTCACGTCACTTCCGCCCTTTGATCCTACAAGTTCCATCATGCTTTGTGTTTACCGGCGTCACTTCCGGTTTTCGCGGGCAAAATGCCGTCGTGTTACTTCCGGTTTCGTAGACTACATGTCCCATGGTGCAACTGCACCTCAATCTCAGTTCTTTAAAGTGACATTTGTTTCATTGTTGTCCCTTTTCTCTATAGATACGCTCAGGACATATTGAAAAGTAAACACATCAGTAATATAACAACAAACCATAAGGAGGAATAAAAACAATAAAGAATAGCATTATACATACAACAAAATGTCTGATCAATATTATATTATAATGTATTAAAAAAAACTTTATATTATCCCAGTGTTAAAGATATATATTACAGGAAATATTTATATGATTCTATAAATATATAATAATTTATTCTTATTATAGTCATTTAAAACTTTTAGGTGTATAGATCCCTAGTTGGTGTATTTCTTAGGTCCAACAACAATAATATGTATTAAAATTATAATGTTTAGAGTTATAAAGTAATATATTATTTATATAAAACAAAATAGTTAAAAATAGATTTTAAATAATAAACTAAACATCTTAAAAATAGATTATAAAAAATGGCATAATTCAAGCCTTGAGGGGTTAGAGTGTTTAAATTAAAAATCCATTTTGTTTCTAATTGACCTAATTTTCTTATCTCATCCTCCCCTTGCCAATTTAAGGTGACTTTTTGGATAGCATAGAAATCTAAGAATTGTGGATCCTTATCATGAATTAATCTAAAATGATCTGAAACACTATGTTTATCGTAGCCCTTCTTAATGTTCCGTATATGTTCATTTATTCTCACATTCAATGGGCGTTTCGTTCTGCCCACATATAGAAGATCACAGGGGCATTTTAAAACATATATCACCCTTTTAGAAAAACAAGTAATCATTTCCTTTATTTTGTGTTTCTTTCCTTTTGCTGAATCATGGAACTCCCTGATGTGTCTTTTTTTTACTTTTTGTGTTCCTACAAGCTAAGCATTGTCCGCAGCCAAAAAAACTTTATTTTGAAAAAAAGGTGTAATTGGTTCTTCTTTTATATGATTATGTACTAACTTTTGTTTCAAATTTGACGCTCCCCTGTATACAAATCTTGGTCTCTCTGGTAGTATAGAGTATAAGCATGGGGTCATTTCTTAGCATGGGCCAATGTTTATTTACTATCTTTTTTATTTTATGGCTTTCCTGATTGAAATTAGAGATGAAGGGCAGCATACTATGCTAATTTTTCACCTTGGATTTATATTTCAAAAGGGAGGATCTTTCCATACTTTCTACTTCTTTTATAGTATTTATCAACAGATTATCCTCATATCGCTTTTCAACAAATTGGTTCTTAACCCTAATGGCTTGAGTTTCAAAAGTGCTTGTATCAGTGCAGTTTATACGAATTCTCATTAATTGAGCTTTTGGAATGTTCCTTAACCAGGGAGAGAAATGGCAACTATTTAAAAAAATATAGTTGTTCACATCTACAGATTTAAAAAAGGTTTTCGTTTTAATATGATCATCTTCTATAAAAATTATAAGATCTAAAAAATTTACACTCTTAGTGCTATATTCGGTAGTTAATTTAACTCCCCAGTCATTAATATTTAAGAAGGTTAAAAAAGTATTTAAAAGTGTTTCTGAACCATTCCAAATAAAAAATATGTCATCTAAGTACCGCTTATAGGTGACCAGGTTTGCTCCCCATTCTATATTGTTTTTGATATGTTTCTCTTCCCAAAATGCCATAAATAAATTGGCATAGCTTGGTGCGAACCTGGTCCCCATAGCAGTACCTACTTTTTGTAAAAAAAATTCATTATTGAACCAAAAATAATTGTTCTTTAAAATGAGATGTATTCCCTCTATGATAAAATTAATTTGCTCCTCCGGATATACATTATCTTTATTTAGAAAAAAAATTTGAGCCGGTTACCAAAGGCTCTAAAGAAGGTGAGCACTTTTGTATTTATTTACATTGATCCATATCAGTATCTAAAATACTACACTTAGATTGGGGATATCTGTGTCTTTTTTCTATGCAATGTGGAGAGGAATTTACGCTCTTTTTCACCTTGAGAGACGGGTCGTGTGATCTACCCCAAAAAAGACACAGACACCTGGAAGTTTAGAGCCTTATAACTGTAAAAGGCTCTAAAAAATGTGAGTTTATTTCAACTTATCATCCATAACTAAAGGACTTTATGTAATATTCATTTAATATACTACACTATTATCTGTATTTTTTATGTTCTTTTTTTCTTGGTATACCATTAAGAAAACTAAAGCACAATATATAGGGTAAGTGCGTGTTTTAGCACTATTCCTTCACTGAAAATTCCACTTTATATTTTCTATATTCAGCGCTACACTCATGAGAAACTAGGGATCTGGGTGATACAAAATATTTACCTAAATCCAAAGTTTTCTCGGTTCTTTTTGGTGTTTATTTATTTTTATGTTCGTAGTTTTACTGGTCCTTGTTATATTATGTTTTCTATTCAGTTGTAGTCATTGTGTGAGTACCCTAGTCGTGTGTGTGTGTGTGTGTTGTGTGGTTTGTCCTTGATTTTGGATTATGTGCACATCTCTATATCTGTGACTCATGTAAATGTCTTCTGATTAGTCTCTCCACGTTCACGTTTTCCCTTATTCTCTAACTCTTCTGTACTTGTTGCCCAGAGCTGTGTTTGTCACCCACGCTCGCCCGCTCAGATCCGTGGCCACCATCTCGGGTGGGCGGATCATGTGACTAGTCTACATTTATGGAAGACGCACGGGAATCAATTCCTCGTGGCAGTCGAGCACTGTAGACATTCCTTCTTTTTCCTCTATATTTCTCTGTCCTTCTTACAGGGAAAGCCTTGTTTGGTAAAAATGGGACAAGAACATGCCAGACCTTCCATAGGCTATTTAGCTTGTGATATTGTTAAGGAGAGAGCAGGAGAAGAGGCTATGTTAAAGATAAAGAAGATAGCAAAGATTTGTGGTTTTCAAATGTCACCCAGTGACCTTATTCATTACTGTATTGTGATGATTGCTTAATTGCAGTTATATTGTGTGTGGTGTATTTGCATCTGTGTGTATGTAGTGCAGTTTGCCTTTGTATTTTTAAGGAATTTGTGATTTAATTACATCTGTATATTGTGTCTTCACTTGTCTATGTGCCTCTTTGTTTGCAATAAAAGTAACGTATAAGTCTCTGTCCTTCTGTCTTGTTATTTTACGGCGCTCACATGGTTAACCTTCATGCCTGCAGTTTCTTTCATTTCTCTCTCTCCCCTTTTTACACTGTCTCAATCCCCCCCCCCTCCAAATCTGTGCAGCTTTCTCTCTATCTCTCGCTCTCTGTGATGTACAGGTTTAGGGGGGAAGGAGTGACATGCCTGCATTCAGTGAGTTATGTGGCAAGTCTGTGTTCAGTGAAGTATTGCGGTTGCTCAGCTATGAAACATTGATATTTATAGGTCTTCAAGCGGACGGCTATAGTCAGAGCTACTGATTAAAGTTAGAGATGGGATTTTTGCTGGAAAATATTCTAATTAAGAACTTCTGTGTAAGATTGTGTATTTTGTTATATACATAGAAGTTGATAGGAAGGTTACGGAGTGATGTGTCGTATAGAGGTTACTAGAGTTTGAATATATATATATATATATACATATATATATATATATTGTGTTTTGTGATAAGGCAGTGAGGATTGTGAGGGAGACTAGCTCACAAGAATGCATTCCACTTTTCTGAGACGCTGTATTTTCTTTCATGGTGTAAAGTATCTCCTCCGAGAATGGTGTATAGTGCAGAGAGGGGATGATTACAGTTTTTAGGAAGGTGAAGCTGGTACAAGAATAGAGGCATATTTGGACATGTTAAGTGTAAAAGGCAAGTGTGATTTGTTGCAATACTAAGCAATGTGGATAGAGGGAATACGCGGAATAGCTAGGTTAGTTTATGAAGAGGAAGGAGATTAATGGTTGTTGGATGATAAGGGAAATTGGTTGAATTCCATGAGATTATTTTGCAATATGTTATTTAAAGTAAATGTTTCTATGGACAGCTTTATGGGCTGTTAACTGCATAATGTTCTCAATTGTCTTATTTAACTCGCTTGATTTATTTACAGTTTAGTATTACATTTTGCAAAGGATGTTGCTTATTTGATTTATTTTATCAGTTATAATATAGTGTAATGTTGAAAGTACGTCCAGCCACCTCCCTAAAACATGGCGCCTAGTACGAAGGGTAGGAGGTTGGCCCAGCCAGCCCCCATGACCTCCACCCAATTACCATTATCTTCAGTCACGTCCACTACTAACGTAACGTCACTTCCGCCCTTACTATGCCCTCATCTCCTGTTTCTTCCTTTCCCATCTCATGGCCGTTATTTCCTCCTCCACCCCGCCATCACTTCCTTCTCCTGTCATGGCTGCCTCCATCATGAAGCCTTCCCCTATTATGCTCGTCTTAGTTAGGACCATGCTACTTTCCTTAAACTCTACATATTATGGACAGGAAAATTGTAAATTACTAAAACAATCTTGCTACCTGTTTCACTGTATCAGAAATGTGTACTATAATACAGTTTCTATATAATAATGGTTTAAAAAAAATGTGTAATTTACTAAGGTGTTTTAACTTTGTAAATATCTGAACTATATTTGAGAAATATTGCTAAGATGCCTTTTGCAGCTGTGCTGTAGGACATAAATATACGAGCATAACAGCTGATTTTCTAGATTAACCCCTTAAGACCGGAGGGCGTACAATTACGCCCTATTTTAGGCGGCTCTAAACGCCGCCGGCGTAAGTGTACGCCCTCCGGTCTTTCTTTACATACCCGGTCCCACGCCGGCGATCGCGGTGGGGGGGACTCCCAGGGAGCCCCCTGCGCCACGTCCGACCCCCTGGAAGCGCCCCCGGCCATGTGAGAGTGAGGTCCTTGCGAGGACCCCACAATCACATGGCCCCCTGCTGGCTGGAAATGAAATAAAATAAAATAAATTAAGTGTAAAAAAAAAATATATATATACTTAGATCATATATATTATATATATATGATCTAAGTATATATATACACATATACATACACACACGTACACTGTCTAGGTGTATTTTACTATTAATATATATATAATTATATATATATATTAATATCAAATTACACGTAGACTGATACTGATTAAATATATATAATTATTGTTATATATTTATATATAATATAAAAAAATTAAATATGTAAATACGTTAAAAAATAAAATAAAAAAATAATAAAAAAATAATTAAAAAATGTATAGATGTGTGTTATTTCGTTGTTTGATATATATTTATATCAAAATACACGTAGAACGAAATAATATATATATATAGCTACATACATAAATATATACGTATATATCACTATATATATACCTATACATAAATAAAAATATTTTTAAAAAATTATATTTTTTTACACATATAGATTCACATACGTATATATATATATATATATATATATATACATATATTAATTCTACATATATATTTATGTAATATTTTTACATAATTAGGTATCTTAATTAATTACAATTAGCGGGACCTGCCTGACAACCCATGCCGAAAGTAATGGGAATTTAATTTGCTAGCAGTATATTTAACCCTATAACTTTCCAAGACACCATAAAACCTGTATATGGGGGGTACTGTTCTACTCGGGAGACTTCGCTGAACACAAATATTAGTGTTTCAAAACAGTAAAATGTATTACAACGATGATATCGCCAGTAAAAGTGACGTTTTTTGCATTTTTCATGCACAAACAGCACTTACACGGACGATATTATTGCTGTGATACTTTTTGCTGGTTTGAAACACAAATATTTGTGTTCAGCGAAGGCTCCCGAGTACAACAGTACCCCTCATGTACAGGTTTTATGGTGTTTTCAAAAGTTACAGCATCAAATATAAGGCTTGCGTTTCATTTTTTTCACATTAAAATTCGCCAGATTGGTTACGGTGCCTTTGAGACCCTATGGTAGCCCAAGAATGAAAATTACCCCTATGATGGCATACCATTTGCAATAATAGACAACCCAAGGTATTGCAAACAGGGTATGTCCAGTCTTTTTTAGTAGCCACTTAGTCACAAATACTGGCCAAAATTTGAGTTTTTTGCATTTTTCACACAAACAAATACTAACGCTAGCTTTGGCCAGTGTTTGTGACCAAATGGCTACTAAAAAAGATTGGACATACCCCATTTGCAATACATTGGGTTGTCTACTATTGCAAATGGTATGCCATTATGGGTGTAAATGTCATTCCTGGGCTACTATAAAGTCCCAAAGGCAACGTAACCAATCTGGCGAATTTCAATTTCAAATGTAACGTGCTATATTTGACCCTGTAACTTCCCAAAACGCCATAAAACCTGTACATAGGGGGTACTGTTTTACACGTGAGACTTTGCTGAATACAAATATGTGTATTTTATTGCAGTAAAAGCAAACAGTATTATGACATTGACAGTTAAAATGTCATGTAGAACTAAAAAAATCTTATTTTCTCCAATTATTTTCACATCAAACTATGTTTCACAGCTAAATATTTGATATTAAATGAAAGCCCTGTTTCCCCTGAATAAAATGATATATAATAAGGGTGGGTGCATTTAATATGAAAGAGGTGAATTACGGTTGGACAGACGTGTAGCGCAAATGCCAGGTTTTGTTTACATTTTGTTTCGTTCACAACGTGTACATTTGGCTCCGCCCTTAAGGGGTTAATATACATTAATGCCTGTGTTTAGCAACAAAGGCAAATAGCCAAATAATGCAAGTTCTTTACACCTACCACACATTTTCTTGTAAGACTACATCTATGCAGTTTATCTGATTTTAACATTGTATCTTCACTTAATCGAATCTTGCTAGTTGAATAATGTTTTAACGTAAGAAGAATTTGTGACATATTTTATTAACTCAGGCGCTACTGGTTATTCGTTAAAGTTACAGAATGGTATAATTTTTATATTTTCATTAATATAAGTGAAGTACTTCAACAGTTAACGATTTACTGAAAGACAAGCAGGAACTTTACTTCACTTACCACACAAACCTTTATTTATAATGATAAACATGTTCAGACTGCCAAAGCTAAAGGCCAGTAAATGAAAGGTAAAGTAGCATTGTGAATTAACCCTTCCAGGTGTTATATATGATTATTTGAAAAGGTATAATTAGATCACCTGTTGTTCCAAATTTTCTCTTACTTGGGTTTTAGTATATTACAAGTCCTGTACCTAAAGGCTATTTGCGGCCTTCATAGCAGAAGAGAATCCTACCGGACTCCCTCATTTCTATCTGATATTGTTGTCTCCTGTATAGGTGTAGCTGACACTCCTCTGAGTGGCCTGCTACCTAAGCCCTGCTTTGTGGTCTCCTCTACCTGTTTAATCAATTTCCTAGGTGCAGATGTCTTTCCACTGGTTGCAAGCCTCTATCACCGTTATGCCAAAATGGCCAGATTCAAATATCTGCACCACTCTCTGCTGCTGATACTTCAACCCTTTGATCGACATGGAAACACATATGCCTTGCTTTTGCCAGAGATCTACAGGCCCTGTTCTGGTGTCGAATGTTGCCCTGGGCCCCTGTGTTTCTCCCTGCTATACCTAGCTGTTCCCTGTCATACGGAATTCTGCAAAGATGACTCATAAAATTACGAGACTGTTAATAAAGCTACTGTCCTGGACATTCTTATTGTACTTAAGCCCACTTGCTCCTGTCTCACTCTACAACATTGCTGAATAAGGATACTACCATGGTGCCAGCTCTTAGTGGTCTTCTTAGGACGTTGTTTTTCCTATGGCACCCGTCACCTCACCTAGAGCTGAGCGAGGGAATTCACAATAATTTATACAAGCCCTCCATGCCTTTTAGCTCCTCATTTCCTACTGCAGTGCCTGGTTACCTAAAGACTGTACCTTTATTCAAAAGACTGAACTTTTTCCTTGTCCCCTGAAGCCTATTTCGGCTTCTGTGCTTTGCAACTTGTTAACTCCTCTGCCCCTACTCTGGACCCCCTCACTTACCAGACACCTTTTAAACTGTTTGCCTTGAAAGACTGAGTCATGCCTCTGGGGACTCACACAGTCTCTTGGTTCCTGCCAAGGTCCCACTAACTCTACTCCTATCAGCTGAATCCTGTGGCACAAGGAAGCCCCTGCTGCCTGTGGGCAACCTTTACAGCATGCAAACTCCTGAATAATACAAATGACTTTATTTTTGGACACAAGCTTATGATTCTTGCACTTCATGATATTAATTATATTCTCTATTAAATCCAGCCAAAACACCTTACCTCTCAAAGACATCTCCACCTTCAAACAAACTTTGCTTCTGCCTGACAATGTCATACTGTAAAGATGCTACTCACTGACTCCGGCCACTCTTCTGCCACTTCCCAGGGGGGAATACCACACTATTGGTACAGTCTTGACATAGACCCTGACGTCCAGGACCAGATCCACACTATTGGTACAGTCTTGACATAGACCCTGACATCCAAGACCAGATCCACACTACGAAAAAGAACTATTCAGACTGGTGGAGGTACGCCTCATCATGACAGACCTGTTTTGGGAACTCTAAAGGAAATAGTGTGGTCCTGGTCCAGATACCCATGGAAGTAAGACACATGTATCATCACTGGGAGGTGGCTGTCCCTCATGTTTTCTTCACTAAGTCCCCAGAAATCTCATGAAAGGAACATGGCTCATTAGCAAAAACATGAAACACTAAAAATCAATATCAGCTCTCAGAGGGGGGTCAGCAAGAGAACTGTGAATTGAAAGACAGTTACCTTTAATATTACCTTCAATTATCTTCAATTATATTACCCTCTCCTACTGCTCCTCATGGTTGCTTTGAACAGATGAAAGAGGAAACAAGACATATCCCAACAGTGCTGCAGTTGCTTTGCCAGATCCTGACTCCACTCTGTTTGTGGATGGCTCTAGATTTGCGGATGAAAAGGGAAGGTACCATACTGGATTTGCTGTTGCTACAGAAGATCAGGAACATCAAGCATCTTCACTTTCATCACCCACATCTGCTCAAGAAGCTGAATTGACAGCCTTCACAGTGGCATGCAAAATGTCTGAAGGAAAACGTGCTAATATCTACACTGACTCAAGATATGCCCTGTGTGTGTGGCACATGATTTTGGATCAATCTGGAAGACAAGATGCAAGACGCAAGTTAAGCATAGCACGGCTATTAAGAAGCTGGTGGATGCCCTACTCCTCCTGAAGAAGTGGCCATACTGAAGGTGAAGGGAGGACTGAATTTAGAAGAAGCATGTGGTAACTACTCAGCCTACCAAGCTGCCAAACAAGCCGCAAGTGCACCAAGGGAAGTGGACAGAAGAGTGTCCGCTGAAGAAACTTCTATATCCACCATGTAGATCCTACCCACAGACCTCAAGCTCCTGAAGAAATAACAAGCAGCTGCTGACCCTGAAGAAATACAAAGCTGGAAACAGAAAGGGGCAACTCTTAAAGATGGGCTGTACTTCAACACTCTCAAGTTCTGTTTACCCAAAAACATGTACTGGGCAGTGGTCCAGTGGGCCCATGGAGCTTTATACCTATCCAAGACCCTCATGAACTCTTTGATTAATAAATACTCTGAAGCACCTAGAATTACCTCTCTGACCAACAGTTACGGCAGATCCTGCGCCATTTGTGCCAAGGGCAACTCAGGCAGAAAAGGAGGAAAACCCCAAGCATCTAGCTAAACCTCACTATCCGTTTCAAGAATCCAAGTGACTATATCCAGGTGCCAAAGAGTTGCCAGTTCAAATATGCACTAGTTATAATAGACATGTTGTCAGGATGGCCAGAGGCCTATCCAGTCACCAATGTGATAACCAAGTCCATATGCCCAGTAGTGCACTGTGAAGGTTGCAGAGATCACTCCGTGGATTCACCATTCCAGATTCAAGCCTGCTTCTGCTCCATGGGAAGTAACGTTTGTTGATCTTGACAACCCTTTGACTCTCCATTTTAAGAAAAAGTAACTTGTTAGAGAAAATATCAACAAGTAGGTGTTTTGATGGCCATAATAACGCCTGACCACCTGCCATCGATGGAAAGCCAAGGACCCCAAAAGGAGACCTCGTGAAGCTAAAGTGAATCAGAAGGACTCCTTACCCTGCAGCCCTCACGTCCGGTCGAAGCTTCTTCAGGATCATCTGCCCATTTTGAGTTTGTGGTGATATTAATATTGAATAAATGATCTGAGTCTATCTGTACTGAGATGGCATGGGACAGGTTTCATATGGTAATGAATAAGTAAATGTGCCCTAGCCAAGGGTATTATGTCCATACACATAATATATGACAATCACCAAGGTACTCTTGACACAACACATTCATGCTTCAGGACAAAAAGGAGTACCCCTGTAGAGGGCAGTTTTGATCCACTTATATATATTGATGTCATAGGGGTGCCAAAGGGGGTACCAAATGTTTTCAAAGTCAAAGACGAAGTTTGAGTATTTCCCCAACCATCACTGCTAATAATATTTTGATTTGCATTTATTATATCTATTACATCCAACAGTGCTTTGTTAATTATACTAGAGATGCCTTACAAGAGCTGGCTTAACTCTTACAAGACACATCCCAGATGGCCCTAGACACGATTTTGGTGAAGAAAGGAGGAGTATGTAAAATACTCCCAGATACTATGACATGACATGTTGTACTTACATTCCAGATAACACAGGTTCATACATTCCAGATAACACAGACTCCCTATCACAGACACTTACGCATGCCTTGATTCTAATAAAGGCTTGGACTTTTCCCTGAGCAACTGCCACGACAAGGTATTAGACATATTAGGCCCGGCAACTAAGATATTTGAAATGGTCGAAGACGACCAAGATTTGGATCGAGCCGCCATAAGTGGATGGATCCAACTAATTATTTGCTTAATTGGCAACGCCAACACTGAGATGGCCACGGAGCGTCGCAAAGCAATTCTATTGAAAATAGAGCCCAAGCTGATAAATATGGCTCTGAATGAGCCAGGTACCCAGGCCAAAGGTCTCTTGTTCGTTCATACATTTTGCTCTTGATAAAGTGCAATCAAACGTGTGCAAAGTATACCACCCTAAGGTTTTTGATGGGGCCGGAAGAGCCAGACAGAACCGAGGCTCCTATACAGGACGAGCTAGCTTCTCAGAGCAGTGCAACACCCCAGCCTTCTTCCCACAACGTGTTGGCCATGTGTTGCTCGGGGACCACGAAGTGCTCACTCAGGACGACGACCTTATGGTAAGTCCTGTCAAATTTCTTTCTTCCCTACGGGCAGTGGGGGACAGACTCCGTAATTTTTTCCATGTATGGTCTCACATTTCATCAGATGCGTGGGAACTGAACACTATAAAAGGGTACGTCATAGATTTTCTGTCTATACCGATACAACATTCCGCACCACGGGAAATCCGTTTTTCCCAACAAGACACGACCCTTGTCAACAAGGAGGTTCGGAACTTAGAAAGGAAACGGGCCATATCAGAAATCCCTATGGCCACAACAGGCTATGTGAGCAACCTATTCCTAGTTGCCAAGAAAAGTGGTGGTGTCCGCCCAGTAATCAGCTTGAAACAACTCAAAGCTTACGTATCCTACAACCATTTCAAAATGGAGGGGATACATTGTCTAAGAGATCTCCTACAACCATCGGATTGGATGGTGAAGTTAGATCTTCAAGACGCTTATCTTAAAGTGCCGATTGCCCTGCAACACCAAGACTTCCTGCAATTCATATGGCAGAGAAGGAAATAGCTATTCAGCTGCCTCCCATTCGGACTGTCCTCAGCCCCATGGTGCTTCACCAAACTTATGAAGCTAGTAGTCGCCTTACTACGAAGTCAAGGAGTACGTCTCATAATCTACTTTTGGCGAGAGTGACAGGCCTCCATCCAAGCCATCTTCCCAGGCTCCATTATTGTGCGTTACAACGTCTACAAGCCTCCCATTTGAGAGACGGGGTCTCTTACACAGATTTGATCACTCTGAACTCAGTAGCGAAAGACGAACTGAAATGGTGGCTCTTCCATATGGAAGCCTGGAATGGTTGCGCCATTTTCGGCACCAGACCAGATCTCATAATAGAATCCGACGCGAGTTTGCACGGTTGTGGTGCTCGCTGTGGTAATGTATCTACAGGTGGCAGATGGTCCGACGTGGAATCATCCCTCCACATCAATTGCCAGACCCATCAGCTCTGGCAACAGATGTGTTCACCCAAGACTGGTCGCCTTTCCACCTTTTGCATGGATTCCCCGCTGCCTACTTCAATTAAGACGCCAGACGGGAACTCTTGTGATTGTGGTACTGTTATGGCCCTCCCAACCATGGTTTCCCTCCCTCCTGGAGATGGCGATAGACATACCGCTCATCCTCCCACACTTCGAGTACCTGCTTCAGGACCCGGACGGTTCCCCTCACCCCCTGGTACAACGAGGCCTTCTACATCTCACAGTGTGGCTGATATCAGGGGACCTTGGGCAATCGAGGGAGTTTCAGAGTCAACACTCCACCTTCTAGAGGGCGCATGGGCACCCGGCACGAGACAGGCTTATAAATCTTCATGGAACAGATGGCGTGATTGGTGCCTGGAACGAGATTTGGATCCCATATGGTCTCCTCTGACTTCGACCCTCCACTTCCTAACGTCATTATTTGAGGACGGCAAAGCCTATCGTACAGTGAACCTATACCGATCGGCCATTTCGGCTACACACTGAGGTATAGATGGGGTCCCGATAGGATATCACCTGCTGATATGTAGACTCCTACGTGGCATCACATTTGCACGTCCCCCACTACCACGATATTCGATACTATGGGACGTTTCCATCATCCTCAATTTCTTTGAATCATGGCCAGATAATGCAGTCCTATCCCTGAAGCAACTGTCAGCAAAGCTGGTTATGCTCCCCTGCCTCATATCCTGCAAGAGGGTTTCCAGTGTCAGAGCCCTGGACATTACTGCACGTTCCTACACAAGGGATCACGTTCGATATATCTCGAAGAATGAAGACGTCATCAAAGAAGGTCTCATTCCCATCATTCCCTGACAGGCCGTCCTTATGTCCGGTCAAATGCCTACAAATTTATGAACTCTGCACCTCCACTTTAAGAGATCCAGCAAAACACAAACTTTTCATCTCCTTCCAGAAACCACACCTACCAGTGTCTACACCTACCTTGGCTCGCTGGGTTAAATGGATTATGTCCCTAGCGGGCATCGACACCTCACTATTCTCACCTCATTCGGTACGAGGAGCGATGGCCTCCAAGGCTTCCTCGATTGGTTGCCGCCTCGAAGACATTTTTAAGGCGGCTGATTGGTCCTCAAAATCTACCTTTACTTCTACTTTAAACCCATTCAACACTTTGCGGGAACGGTAATCTCCCAGCTTTAAACCAGTATAATAGGACACTACGTGTCTTAATAAAATTCTCAGATTTTACTATTACCATGACGTAAAATCATGATTTTATTAACAACACGGAGGCGATTATTATCCATTCCTCCCATCCCGAAGAAAGATGCAATATGGGTAAGTTGATTTCACGGTAAGTCCTGATATCATGGAGTTTGCTCTTCATGCTAGGTTTGTCATTACTTGAACTTAACCACAAGGGAGGGAATATGAATAAGTTGCTTACACAGTAAGTCCTGATATCATTGAGTTTTTTCCATCTGGTTATGGTATGTTTCTCAATACTTAAAACTTAACCACTATGGCTTAAAATAATTAAATTCTATTCACTATGACCGGTGATTTATGCATACACCCAGTTTTATACTAGAATATTACCATATCTTTCCTCTTTTACAGCCTAATCTACTTCAGATCGTCATGGATATTCCATTTGTACTCGACCCCTTTTTCGGTTGGATGGTTATTATTATTCGGGATCGCAAATAAAGAGGAATAGGATTGGTTGACAGAGCCTATTATGCTGAAGAGAGGAACCTGATTGGGTGTTCCTGTTGCTGAGGAGATACTACTCTCAGACTGTTAATGTTATGTAATGGTTATGTTTTGTTTTTTTTTATTCTTTGCTCCTGAGGGAAATAAAGAAAGAGTGCAGCATAATACTGTGTCGTTAATAAAATCATGACTTTACCACATGGTAATAGTAAAATCTGTGAATTTCTATCTGCTCAAGCAAATGTTTTCACATTGCCTCAAGCACAGGAGGAGAGGCAGCAGACTGGTGTCTAGGGACAGTCTAATGTTAAACTGTTTTTTTAAGGTAACACACCAGGGACTCCAGGAACCATAAAAACTTCAATGAGTTGAAGCAGTTATGGTGACAGTCCTCTGCAGCAAATCCAGCTGATGCAAGTCATGTGATCGTGGTGACATCTCAATCACATGACTCTGATATGACTGATTGACAAGATTGGCTGCAGTGGGACTGCTTGAGTTGTCATGCAAATCCCCCAATATATACCATATTTTTCCATGTATAAGACTTTTTTTTTTTTGTAGTCTAAAATTGGGGGTCACGGAATACACATTATATATACGTAAAGTCACTGCAGGGGTTTAAAAAAAAAAAAAAACACTTGTGCACCGGGCCTGACAGCCAACCAAGCTAGTTGCATGTGGCTGGAGCTCCTTCAAAAATCTAATTATTAAACCAAATACTTACGGTACTTTCTCAGCGCAATTTGTGCACAGAACTTGGCTCCTCGCTGACAGAACACACAGATGACTGTTGGGTAGGCAGAGGGCATTGTTGCCACCAACAGCAGGACGGCGTTCATGGAACCAATGTCTAGACCTGGCCAGACCTCGATGAGTGGCCTACCGGAGTGTGAGGGGGCCAGGGACCAGTGGGGACTTCAGTGCAATAGATGTTTAACATATGTATTTATTAATTTGGGGCTCAAAAAATAGAGGTTGTCTTTTAAACAGAAAAATATGGTACTTTTTTGATGAAAAAGAAGAGAGAGTTCCCAGCATCCCAGCCTATCACATGACATGTAGTGCTGTACTTGTGGAACATCCCTGAACACAATGATGAGTGTTTTAGAGCAGCAAAACATTTAATGGACGATATCATCAGTGAAGGTGCAGTTATTGTGTAAAAAATTAAAAAACAAAAACAACTATGAACTCAAATTTTGGCCAATGTTTGTGACTAAATGGATACTAAAAAAGACTGGACATACTCCGTTTTAAAAACTCTGGGTTGTCTACTTTTTCAAAAGGTATGCCATGATGGGGGTAATTCTCATTCCTGGGCTGTCATACATTCTCAAAGTCAACATTGATCCAGCAAACCAATCTGGCAAATTATAATATGTAAAAACTGAAATGGACAAGCTCTGACAACTTGATTCTGTAACTTTTCAAAACGTTCTAAACCCTGGACATTGGACATCGTTGTACATCACAGCATACACGTGTATTTTATAGCAGTAAAAACTAAAGGTATTATGACATTCATAATTAAAATTTCGTGCAGAACTTGGAAAAACATTTTTTTTTTTTTCTCACACTTTTTTTAGATTTTGTTCAAGCGTGGGTGCACTTTATATGAAAGAGGTAAATTATGGTTTACCAGACATATAGTTCAAATTCCAAGTTTTGTTTAGAACTTGGACAATTGCCTCCATCCTTAAGGAGTTAAAGGCTTTTGTGTTTAACTAAGTAAACAGATCTTGAACATTCATCAGTTCTGTCTTGCAATAAGTCATGTGCATCTTTTCAAGCAGCTTCATCCTTCCACTGTTGGATTTCGCTATTCTCGCATTACTGGATCGGTCCCATGTGTTCTCATTTGCAAATCAATTACTTGGAACAGTGGCAGAGGCAGTTATTTCAGTTATACTTTCACACAATCTGGAATTTTTCACAAACACAAAAAAATGAACTGAAGAAGAATGCATATGGTCATGCTATATGTTAATAGTATTAAAATACAGAGTTAATACTGAGCAAGCCTGGAGAATGACAGGAAGAAGACAAAAAAAAGCAATGTTAAAAGGTGACTTAATCTTTGATAATACTGGGAAATTCTCAGCCATCAAGTTAAATAATGGCTAAAATTATATTAAATAAATCCCATGCAGGATATTGTATTTGGACTTTATATTGAAAAGTTTAAGAAAGAAAATGTACAGGCAACATGGATGGTGTGGCGAAACCAACCTCGCCACTGTACACTGGAGAAGCCTGGTTGCTCGCCTGCTCCCTTTAGACTATGGTCCTGCATTTTAAACTTTTATTTTACCGGCAGAAAGGTTTATTTGTGCCTTTCTGCGGACTGTTAAAGCCATGCTACCCCAGATAGCTATGCCATGGAGCCCAGCCGTATACTGAAAGACTTTGGCTCCATGGCGATTGAACTGTATGTATGTGATCTGAGCGCCATTCGGTAGTAATGTGCACTCAGATCTAAGCTATCTGGGGATATGTAGAATGTCTATGTTTTATGGAATAAATGTAACTGTATGTAATTTTATGTCTTTTATTGTCCTTTGTCTGCCATGTGGTTAATGGAGTTTTACCTCTGTCCTTGGAGATAATTTGATTACTTCACAATTATCTCCAGGACAGAGAGGAGGGATTGTGATGTAATTGTGGGTGTGTTTTACGGTTCCCCTGTAACGATTGGTTGTACTGTGTCCCACCCTGTGGGATGTCCCCTTGCATGGAGACTTGCATAAAAGCCAGTGTGTGGCCATTACAGACAGTTCCTGCTTAACCCTCAAAGTGAAGTGTCGTCTCATTATTGGGGGAGGATTTACTGTATGCTGTTAGAGACTGATTGCCAGGAATGTAAGCCGCTTGAGGGCTTTTCCTGTTCGTCTGCTAGCAGCTATTCGTGTGTATGCAGTTAGGGAGATTGGTGCTTGCAGTAGCTGTCTGTGCAGCTGAAAAAGGGGAATATCGCCTAAACGGTTTTTAACCCCTTTTGGGCAAAACGGTCCGTTACAGATGGCATTATGCATTTATTTGTGACAAGGATGGACTTGAGGAACTCAAGCCAATACTAGAAAGCAATACAAGTCTAGAAAAAGAAAAATAGATTTGAAACCTAAGTGCTACTTTTCAAGTCTTTCCCTAGGGCTTGCATTACTTTATTTTTAAAAACAAACAGAAGAGAAACAGAGATCTGGGTGTATACCCACACACTCTCCCCTAAAGAAAAGAGGGGAATAGTGTCAGGGTCCTACCCAGAAACCTGTGTACCGCAATGGGACTCCAGAGATCCCTAAAGGGGCTTAACCCCGATTAACAAAAATAACAACAGAAAGAAAAGATACTGCAAGTTCTCAGTGCATAGAAACCCATGAGGCTTGCTGCATCACCTGGAAATCAAAATATAGCTATGTAGTCCTATAAATAAACTGGCTAATAATATAAAGATTACTAGAAATCAGATGTATCCAGAAGTGAAACTAATACTCCCATGTCTCCCAGATAACAGAGTCCCATAGGTAGATGTATAAAGTACCTACATACTGAACACGCAGCCCTATCTATATGACCACTTTATTAGAAAAAATACTTAATAGGGATGAGTCCAGTAGAAAAATAATAAAAAAATACCTAAACGAGGACTGTCTCTGGGTACACACTCCTTATACCTGACTAGTATCCATAGGCTGAGTATTGTGATTGTATAGATGCCAAAAGCCACCTCTATCTACAGCAGGGGCGGTATATATCAGAGACAAAAACTCCTCCAATTGCAAACAGGAAAGGATTAAGTATAGAACACAGAGAGAGAAGAGAGATAATAATACAAAGTGTTCAGTTTCTAAGAAACTGACAATATATAGTTAAAAAGCCTCTCTCCCTGGTAAGCTGACTAAATAGACATAGGAGCAGAAATAAAGAAAGTGAAAAATATATTAAACAGAAAAAAATCCCATAAAGTTAGTGCCAAACATGGTGCTGTATACACCAGTGCCCAGTGCTCATGAAATATGAGAAAAACGCGCGTCGGGCGTTTTTCTCATATTTCATGAGCACTGGGCACTGGTGTATACAGCACCATGTTTGGCACTAACTTTATGGGATTTTTTTCTGTTTAATATATTTTTCACTTTCTTTATTTCTGCTCCTATGTCTATTTAGTCAGCTTACCAGGGAGAGAGGCTTTTTAACTATATATTGTCAGTTTCTTAGAAACTGAACACTTTGTATTATTATCTCTCTTCTCTCTCTGTGTTCTATACTTAATCCTTTCCTGTTTGCAATTGGAGGAGTTTGTGTCTCTGATATATACCGCCCCTGCTGTAGATAGAGGTGGCTTTTGGCATCTATACAATCACAATACTCAGCCTATGGATACTAGTCAGGTATAAGGAGTGTGTACCCAGAGACAGTCCTCGTTTAGGTATTTTTTTATTATTTTTCTACTGGACTCATCCCTATTCAGTATTTTTTCTAATAAAGTGGTCATATAGATAGGGCTGCGTGTTCAGTATGTAGGTACTTTATACATCTACCTATGGGACTCTGTTATCTGGGAGACATGGGAGTATTAGTTTCACTTCTGGATACATCTGATTTCTAGTAATCTTTATATTATTAGCCAGTTTATTTATAGGACTACATAGCTATATTTTGATTTCCAGGTGATGCAGCAAGCCTCAGGGGTTTCTATGCACTGAGAACTTGCAGTATCTTTTCTTTCTGTTGTTACTTTATTTTTAGTATTCCTGAAGCATACTTTTTAGTCCAATCAATACAAAAATTTTAAGTATATTTGAACTAGTTATAAACATAAAAGATAAATATATGGTAAAGAGAACAAGAAAAAGTTTTATATATACATGAATTGTAAGCGGATAAAAAATTATGTACATGAAGAGTTAAACGGAAAAATGTCTTGTATTTTAATATTTTTCCCACACCCTCTTTAAATTTTATATGTTTCCAAAAGTTTCCTTGTACTGCTGATACCAACATACCACAAAAATGTCTAGAGAAAAACTCAATGGACAACATTTTATTTTGAATGTTTATCTGCACTAAAAGTGAAGGCCAAATTCAAGGAGCAAACAGTGTTAGTGTTAAAGCAGACAAGGATTACAAGAAGCAGTATGAGAGATTTTGTCAGACACACAGATGAAGGTTAAAAATGCAGATCTCATTCTTGAGCAGTTAAAATTAAAGTGGGTTAAAGAAACTGTATGGGCATCATAAATAACTTAAAGGAGCACTATAGGGTCAGGAACACAAACATGTTTTCCTGACCCTATAGGGTTAAAACCACCATCTAGCCCCCCTTTGCCCCATCATGCCTCTCTAAAAATAGTAAAACTTACTTGTATTCAAGTCTGCAGCTGCATATTTTGACCCTGTTTCCTTTAGACCTGCCCACTGCCTGCTGACATCAGCAGAATTGGTAGCGTGATCCAATCGCAATGCTTCCCAATAGGTTTGGCTGAGACTGACAAAGATGCAGATCAGGGGCAGAGCCAACACAATTCAAACACAGCCCTGGCCAATCAGCATCTTCTAATAGAGATTAATTGAATCAATGAATATCTATGAGGAAAGTTCAGTGTCTGCATGCAGAAGGTGGAGACACTGAATGTTTGGATGCATTTTAGGCAGCCATGACCCAGGATGGATCTCTAAAACCATCTGAGTGGCCAGTGAAGTTATCACTAGGCTGTAATTGTAAACACTGTATTTTCTCTGAAAAGACTGTGTTTACAGTAAAAAGCCTGATGGTAATGATTTTACTCACCAGAACAAATTCAATAAGTTGTAGTTGTTCTGGTGACTATGGTGTCCCTTTAATCAAAATGAGGATGTTATGGTGCCCAGAGGTCCTTGGTGACGTTTTAACTGAAGGGGTTAAACCGGTTTTAAACAGTCTAACCCCAAAGACTGCTCCTGCACTAAAGAAATCGAATGCAGGTGGGGACACAGAGTTCCGGCGCTGGAGAGTAACTGTATTGTGACAAAGTTGTCATTGTGCCCATACAGTTCCTTCAAATATCAATTATGAAAACAAGCTTCGGAGTTGAGGAGATTATGTGTGTTTTTCATACCCCTCTAAATTATCCTCACATATGGAAGGACAGTAAATTCGATTTTTCAAAATGATCTTCGTAATAAGTATGTATTCAAAATATACTCTCACTGTATTATTCAAATTATACACTCACTATATTTTTCACTTGCTGAACATCTGTTTCAGATGTACTTCTGAAGATATCCAAGACATTTATTAACTTGTGAAACAAAACATGAGGTTAAATATTGAAAAATATATATATATATTTTAAAACAAAGGGGTTACAAGTCTTGAAGACTGAAAGTAAAAATAATTTTTAAACAATGCCCATCAACTATTAATACTGAATACCGCTGTGTACTCTATGGGCATT